TCACTTCGGATAATATCAGTTATAAGGTAAGTAGCATGTAGACTACACACTCTTATCCAATTTATCTATATGTTGAAAAATATAATAAATAATTTTTACGATTTATGGGCGAATGAAAAACTTTTGTTTTGTATACTGATAGCGTGAATCATGTCACAGATCGTGTTGGACATGCATGACTTTGTGGATGGAGATGTGAAGGTGAAGCTGATGGGCGAGAAGGAGCTGCTGGTGGAGGCCCTTTCGGCCGGGTCCTCGCGCACCTTCAGACGCAGCTTTTCCTTGCCTGAGTCCACTGACATGACATCCATCACGCCTGTCATGTCGTCAGATGGCATCCTCACAATCACTGTGACCAAGAAGGTATTGTCCTAGCTTTTCTTTAATATATCATCGCTTTTCTGGTGTTATAAAACTGACTTCATTAAAATGTAGAAGGCATTCGCATGGTAAATACGCCATCCTAAACCAACAGGAGACTGAAACACAACAGAAGGCGACTGTCATCCCCATTAGCGTCAAGGAAACGCACAATGCACAAGTTCACAGCTCAACTTCCTCGACGACCTCGGGAGTTTCTGAGGAAGCGGCGTCTGGCCAGAGATCGTCCCACACAGCCCAACAGGAGGAACGCAAATCCACACGATGCCATCAGGAGAAGATCGACGAGAACAAGACCCAAACTGCAGCTTCCAGTATCTCAAGCAACACCCAAATATCATCACAGAAGCAGTCGTCGGTGATCTCAGATTTTGCTTCCACAAAAAATTCCGACTCGCTGGAAGCAAAGGAAACTCTTGGCAGTTCGCAAGACGATTCCTTGGCCATCGCGAGGAGAGGAAGCTTCTTGCAAGACTCGTTCTTCTCCGACATTCGCCGAGACTTCGACGCCTCCGTCAGGGAAATCTTGAAGAAATGCGACGACTCCGACCTCACGCTGACAGGCGATGTCAGTCACAGTGACATCCTGAGCCGCTACAGGCAGCTTCGATCTCGAAACATGAAGGAAGAGAACCAGGCCTTCTGCGTCTCGTCAGACAGTGTCAGCCTCAAGGTCAGTCCCCTCTCTGTGTATTAGCATTCAGCATTGTCTAATCTTCACTAAATTATCTTAACCTATTATGGAGGACTTCATCATTATCCCATTCATTCTGCTTGTTTCTTTTCTTCTTCTTTCTTCTTTTCTTATCATCATTATTACTATCATTATCATTACTATCATTAATACAGTTATTAATATCAATATCATTATCAATGTCATTTTCTTCATTGTTAATGTCATTATCATTATTATTTTTATCATTATCATCATTGTTATCATTAAAATAATCATTAGTCCTATCATTTTAATTAGACCATATTTTCCATGAACATAAAGAAATAAGCAAATCCAATTCAATTTCAACTTCACAGATCGTGCTGGACGTGCATGACTTCATGCGCGGAGACGTCAAGGTGAAAGTCGTCGACGAGGAGCTGGTGGTGGAAGGGCGCGCGGAGGAGGAGGAAGGAGGGTCGTCCGTCTCGACACGGTCCTTCAGACGCCGCTTTGCCCTGCCTCACAGCACTGACATGACACGCATCACTTCTGTCATGTCTTCGGATGGCATCCTCACAATAACTGTTCTTAAAACGGTAAATAACTTTTATGTTAAGATAATAGGTCCTATATGTTTACATTACACACTCATGTTTAAAAAGGTAAATATGTAGACCTAGAACGCTAATCACACTGCAATGTAACACTGAGTTAGTCTATGCATGCGTAGAAATGAGTATGACGCTGTTCTCATTTCTCTTTCAGGCAGGAGAACCACAGCAAAACACACGCGTTAACTTCTCCACGACCGAAGAAAGGAAGGAATCATCAACAGCTCAAGACTCAACACCCGAAGCAGTTTCGTCCACGACGGAGAAAAATATCTCTGTTCACGAGAATCTTGTTAATGTGGATCAGATGGAGTTTGGGTGTGAACGAAAACTCTACGAGAACAAGACGAGAAAGCTGAAGAAAGATTCGAATTTCCTGCTGAAATA